GAATGGAGATAGGGAAAGCAAATGCAGACAGTGATATGGCTACTACTTATGTATATAATGAACCAAACCTTAAATTCCATTAAACTTTAGGATGAATATTTGAAACCTGTGTCTGAATTCTTCAGCTTAGGACAATCTCTAGTATTGCTTTTAAACAACAGTAAAAAAAGCCCCATCCCAGCTTAGGACAATCTCTAGTATTGCTTTTAAACAACAGTGTAAAAATCCCCATCTCTGGTACGGTTTACTTTCCTGTAATATAACTTTCACAACTGCATTTTAGTTTAATGTACAAATCAGAATGACCATAATCATATATTGACTTCTGAAATGGCAATAAATTGACTTAGTCTATCAAATTAATCTTTAGGTTGTATCCAAACAAAATTTACTTTGTTATAAAGCAAAGCAGTAGTTCAGTAGATGATGTCCAGAAGAGTTGATTACCAGTGCTTTTCTCGACAGGACTACATTTCTCATCAGTTACATGATATGTAGTGCGATTGGAGACCAATCCAGTAACTATAGAGACATAGAAATATCTTTAGTTAGAAGAGCAGAATAAATATTGCACACAAGCTTTTGGGATCTCATAAAAAGATTTCTTCTAATGAAGAGGACTAGAGAGGAAATCCATCAGGAACTGTAAACTGGGAAAAATCAGTATCTACTAAATCATCCAGCACACTGATACAGTATTTAAAGCACTTGTATAAAAAAAACCTTATGATTACTCTGACCTTCGAGGGAAGGAGAGAAGGGAAGACTTTATTAGAACATCAAAGCTTGTGTAAAACTTGCTTGTTAGTCAAATGACTGTCCGCTGCTACCACACATGGGACACTTTTTAAAAAAAAATCTCTGAAACTTTCTCTTGTAATAGTTACATACCAAGACCAGATTATTGGAAACAAAAATATCTCTGCCTGGCCAAACTTTTCTTTCCCTCATTCTGCACATCTTTAGGAATATAGCTGAGGTCAGGCTGTGCAGACTTTTAGGCTAAGCGGTATAACAGTCTCTCTGTCTCCTGTTTTTCCTTTCATTATGAGTATGTGATGTGACTAGAGTGGAAAGTTGAGTGACTAGAGCTTTTCGACTGACACATATAGAAACACCTGCTGGCAGCTGAGAGTAACACCACTGCAAAACAGCCACCCTGAGACCATAAAGCTTTAAGCTTAAATTTTTACCGTAACAAAAAATCTACTTGTTCTGTGCTGCTTGTTTTCCTGGGGCAGCATCTGTGTTTGTGTTTCTTCTAAAGAAAAGGCTCTAAAAACCTAAGCTCTGCTCACCAGCCTGGTATTTTGCAATCAGTATTACAATCCTGTGTGTTAGCGTGTATCTATACCTTACCACTGACAGATTTTATAGGCCAGATTCTCTAAAGATCTGATGTAGCCCCTGAACCACCTGAACAACTTGCCTTCAGGTGTGTAGTAGAGAATTCTCCTAGCACATTATGATCTCCTGTGCCTGCTCTAGGTCTAGCTTGGATGTGGTAGGGAGGGGCAGAGGTGGCGAAGGTGACATGCAAGAGCTCGGCTATGCGGTGTCTGTGCTCCGCAAACATAAGGCAACCACCTCGGGCAGAATTTAGAGCAGCTTGTTTTAGTTGTGTCAGACCAGAGTTGAACCCTGGAAGTTGAGAAGCTGCAGCCAAGAATCTTGGAGATCTTGACGTACCTGTGCAATTTGTTGTAATGAGAATAATCAGTAATAACAGGAATACGCAGCCTTTATTAAAAAAAAAAAACATGTCTGGACCTAATTTTTGTTTATCTGCCATAAATTTTCGATGGCGGGGGGGGGGCGGGGAATCCTCAAATCTGCTTTTGATACTGAAATTAAGATCCTAATCTAAACCATGCTAATGGCTATGATGAGCATGAATCCTGATTCTAGATCCACATACCTACTGCAGTGCTAGTTTCCATAAGATGTGGGTTAAATTAATAGTTTTTTGACCTTTCCTGATGAGAGCTAGTGTTTTGATAATCATATCAATGAAGCTAAACAGAGATTTGCTCTTTTTAGCTGGGATTTTCAGTATATGAAATTTAAATTTAGAAAAGAAATGGCTTATAAGTAGGTCAAATTACATTAGCCTTATATTGCAGCAAGGGAGGTTTAGGTTGGACATTAGGAAAAACTTCCTAACTGTCAGGGTGTTTAAACACTGGAATAAATTGCCTAGGGGGGTTGTGGAATCTCCATCACTGAAGATATTTAAGAGCAGTCTGGATAGACATTTATCAGGGTTGATCTAGACAGTGCTTAGTCCTGCCATGAGGACGGGACTGGACTCGATGACCTCTCAAGGTCCCTTCCAGTTCTGGTGTTCTATGACATTGGCACTCTGATTCGTGAGTATTGTTTTACAATATTATTTCTCTGAAATTATTTGCTGATCTATTGCATTTTTATAGTCTAACTCTTACATGTTCCTAATTTTCAGTATCTCTAACAAATATAATTTTCATCATGAAGCATGTCATGAGTATTGCAGCCTCATGATGGGGCTTTTTATGCATGTCTGAGAATTTGGTTATTTAAAATGAATTTAATTTAATGCTCAAAGTAGAAAATCCAATGTAAGCAAAAGTTAGTGACCTAAAATGTTGCTTTTAAGCTTCCTAGTATAGCTGATAGTAGAATGATATAAAATGACATGAGGGCAGCAAACATAATTGCTCATTGTGGGTCTCTCTTCTTTTTTTCAATAGCTAACATTTTTTTAAAGATGAAAAGTGACAGTTATATATTTTTGGAAACACTTTCCTGTAGGAAAGGAACATGCAAGCTATTTACTTTGCTGTTGCTGGGGCTGACTCAACTATATTTATAAAGTTTATTGACATTGTGGACCAAATTTTCAAAGCATCATCTCACCAAGAACTAATTTTGGGCATGGTACTCAGTACTTTTGTGCCAAGTACTCTGTGCAAAATGAGCAGTTAGAAGTCTACCCAGTTTATATGCACAAAATCACAAGTTATTTCTAGGAGCAAATGTCATGTTTTTCGGCATCTTAAATCAAAGGTTTTTCAAGATGTGTGCAAACATCAGAGGATGTGGCTGAAAATGCAGCCCTATAAGACCTCTTAACATTGCCAAATGGCAATGATCCATGTTTTACCTTAATTCCCTGAATGCTAGTAATATTTATATTCTTCAATAGGCACATCAGGGATTCCTTTTTAATCAAACATGGTGATGGCAACTTTTCAGAAGAGGTTTTATCAACAGTGAAGTTAGACGTGGAAAACTAGAAAACTAGAGTTACAATGAAATTTCAGTGTCTTTTATTTCTCCCTTTTGTCTGGGAAATGTATGGATTGCATGAATGAAATGATGCATACATGAAGGCATAGAAAACCAGTCCAGTGAGTGACTTCATTTTAAAGTTGGTAACATTTTGTAACTAGCAAATTGTTAATTCAAGTGACTAGAGATCCTTAGAGTGAACAAAAATGTTGAGGAAATGCTATCAGATGATGGCTTTTCAAACAAACCAACCCAAACTAGTCAATTCAGCAAAACAGTGATCTGCATTGAAATTCCCATGCAATTCAAAGAGGCAGCATGGAGAAAAGAAAAGGGTAGTACCCACTAACTGTATCTGAGAATAGAATAATAGTGTAATATATCATTTAATTCTAGTGGCAGGAGCCCCCACCCCCAAAAAAGGCTCTTAGACACCTAATTGTATTAACACTTACATTGGTTAGCAGAGGTTAGTATTTCCTCCTGCTAAATAATGTTGTGGTCATGCGGAGATTAAACAAATCTGACTCTACTCTTACCTTGCCTTTATCCTCATTGTAATTTAATGGTTCAAATAATCTTATTAGAATTGGGCAGTAGTATTGGTTATGCACAAGTCTTGTCCAGAACCAAGAATCCAACCGGAAATGGGCTGAGATCAGGTTCTAGTCAGAGTACACCAGTTGCTAAATAATGTTGTGGTCATGCGGAGATTAAACAAATCTGACTCTACTCTTACCTTGCCTTTATCCTCATTGTAATTTAATGGTTCAAATAATCTTATTAGAATTGGGCAGTAGTATTGGTTATGCACAAGTCTTGTCCAGAACCAAGAATCCAACCGGAAATGGGCTGAGATCAGGTTCTAGTCAGAGTACACCAGTCTGACA